GTCGGGGTTAAAAATGGACCACGCAAGAATTCAAAACTGACATTTATGTATAATAATGCGCAAAGCTTAGTTTCAAAAATGGATGAACTAAGGATCAACGTATTCGACCTCCTTCCTGATGTTATTTCGATAACAGAAACATGTTTGTCTGACTAGATTGACAATCGCGAACTTTCAACTGTTCCGGAAAGACAGAGACAACCGAAGAAAAGGAGGCGTAGAAACCTTCATGAAGAACGATTTGTATGTTTCCGAAAAAAAGGCGAATGCGTCTGGTCTACAAGCGGTATGGTTGACTATAAGAGCAACGGGTTCCCAAAGCCGTGACATCTTAACTGTCTACCGACCACCAAACAACGATCCTGAGGCTGATGCCCTATTGCTGGACGAGCTTAAAGCCCTCGCTACACGATCAAATACCCCCTATTGTTGGGTACTTCAACGCTCCTACCATCAACTGGAGCTCCTCCTCAGCTGCTTGCCCTGAATCGGCATTCGACCACGAGCTCCTGAATGTAACTCAATCCCTACTTCTCACCCAGCACGTCACATTTCCGACAGCAATTCATGCGGGCCAAGCGCATTAACTGCCTCGACCTTGTGCTCACTAAATAGCTCGACAATATTGGCATTGTGAATTGCTTATCCCCACTAAGCCAGAGTGACCATGTAGTTCTCATGTGGGAATACAGTTTATTATCTTTGCCTGCCCAACCACAAACAACGAGCAAATGAAACATGATCTCTGTTTCATAGACTGGGCATTCACACTCTCCGACAACGTTATAGAAGCTTAGGAACAATTCAAAGGGATAGGCCATAACCTCATCTCTGACTAATGCACTATCACTTGCCGAAAACTTACGAGCAGGACTTGCTGGGTGCCTTCGTCCTTAAAAACCGAAGTTAACAAGAAGAGAAAACTGTGGAACAAGTACCTAATTAATAGGTCACCTGAATCTCTGAATAGGTACAAAATGCTGAGGAACCGGGTCAAACGACTCATTGTCCAAGATCGACAGAATTTCGAAGAGGATCTGCTAAACAGAGCCATGATTAATCCCAAAGTCCTGTTCAGTTATATAAGAGAGAGCACGCGGAATAAGGATCCTATCGCCCTACTGCGAACTGCCGAAGGTACCGAAATCTCAGAGAACAAGGATAAAGCTGATCAACTCTGTCAGTTCTTTTGGTTCGTCGAGACGACTGAACCCAGTTTTCTATCCGACACTTATGTAGACAATTCGACTCCACCTATTGATACAGTCCTTTTCACCGAAGATGTAATTAGGAATGAGCTTCTAAAATTGAAATAATCGACCTCTTCATGGCCCGACGCAATCCCGGCCAGGCTGTTGAAGGGGCTAGCTTCTGAAATGGCCAAGCCGTTAGCCCTAATCTTCCAGGCGTCATTTGTTATGGCCTGCCAACCATCTGATTGGAAGACAGCGACGATCACCCCACTTTTCAAGAGTGGATGCCGAGCGTCCGGAAATA